TCAAAGGTGGAATGATCGACTATTCCAAGCGACGGTCGTTCGAACCTCTACCAAAAAGTAAAACAAACAAATAACAAAAAAATCAAAACTTATATAATTATACGCTGTTATTAACCTAATCTTGAAAACAGTATAAAAATAAAATGGTCGATAAGAAATGGCAAAAACAATTGGGTTAGGTCTGGGTTAGGTTAGAAACGTCCCCTCCACCAAAAAGTAAAACAAACAAGTAACAATAAAAATAGAAACTTATATAACTATACGCTGTTATTAACCCAATCTTGAGAACAGTAAAAAAATAAAATGGTTGATAAGAAATGGCAAAAACAATTGGGTTAGGTTAGGAATAGTCTATTGCTTTTGCGAAATAAAACTACGGAAAATGTTGCAACTACAGCATCGAATCTGATCATGTTTGTTTACGAAAAACCGAAGCGACAAAACTAACACGATGTCAGATGCGCTACGCTAAATATAGTGGCAAACTTCCATTGAGTTTTTTAGCACACGCATCGTTCACGTGTGTCACGGTTACCCATAGGGAACCCTGACAGTGTTTCAATCGATTAGGCGTGCCCGAAGGGGGAACCACGAGCAAGGGGGAAACGTATGCGAAACACAAAGCCGTATAAATTTAAATGGCACCGGCCCAAACACGAAGCACCTTCCCTTCGAAACGAAACGAAAATTCGAAACGTACGATTTACGATCGAAATCACGTGGCAAAAGGACCGATTGATAATTAGGAACAAATATAAAAACGAAGAAACGATTCCCCGATGATAACGAACACGTAATATCGTTTTATTCACTCGCAGCGGAAAGCGTTCTAAGTTCGTGCGAAAGTACATTAACCTAAACAACGCGAACGTTCTCTCGTACCTCCGCGCTTTGCTTGCGCACGTGCGAAAACGAGACAGACAGTCTACGAGAAAGAAAGAGAGGGTAAGAGGAGAGAGAACTCCGGTTGTTTCACCGGACAGAAATTCGAGGACGTAAACAATACATCCGTAGAAACGCTGGGGGATGCAGAGCTTTGCAAAGATTCAAGCCAGGACTAAAAAATACATATTTTTTTTCTATGGTCGAACGCAGCGACGCATTTGCATAGTCAACAAGAACTTAACACCCATGGGACTGAGATGTTCGGTGGCGCACCCTGGGAGAAAAAGGGTTGCAACAGCTCCCTTGCACCTACTACGCTGTAAATATTAATTTCTTAACCATTGCAATTTTTATATATCGTTTCTATGTATATAGAAATGTAAGTTAATATCTACTAGAAATATCGTTAATAATAACGATAAGGCGGGCCGTGATTCGGAACATTTCGATTAAAACACACGTGGCGCGAAAGTCGACCATCCTTTCATCGTTAACGTGCAAGGCAACAGTAGTAACTTCGTTGTTATGTTACAAGGTTAACCGAGTTCGAAGACCTGATTGGCTGAATAACTATCAGTGACACCTCCGTGCGACCGCATTCGCACAAATATTCTACTCACGACTCTGACAGCTATTCTACAACGCGTTTAATGAGAATTTATGAAAGCAAAACACACACAGTAAAGTGTATTTATAAAACAAAACAAACATAAGGGGGAAAAAACCATTGTTGAAATAATTAGAAATTTCCCTGGTAATTGCATGTGATTTATCTCGACTGTCAACTTGTCATTCTTTATTAAAATAACGATTAAATCGTTCGGTTCGGACAAATCGACTATTCATAGATATTTAATAATACAGAAAGGCTGCAATTTGACGGCAAACGGATAAGTTTACTCATTGCGAAGGGCAAACATTACCTTCGATACGAGAACGTCCCAAGTTCGACAAATGACAAAGATAAGACATCTTGACAGATTGCATGGCATATCGTATTCGTATCTCGAAAGGTTTTATTGCATTTACATATGCCGAAAATGAAAGCATTCTCGTTGCTATTGCTCACAAAAGATACAGAACCGAAAACAAACACAAAACGAAAGTATACTCTCGTAAATATAATGCGTCACTTCCCACGTATACGATCACCAGCAGAAGGGTTAGGTATACCGCCAAAAATTTTACTAATGAGTCGACCGCTCTTTTCGCGAGAAAAGGAGACAGACAGAATGTTATTCCGTACGTCTCTAACGTCAACGATCTCGACGAGCGTCAAGCCCCTCGCGGACTTCGTAAACATGGAGGTTTCAGTTGTGGGTTAAAAAAATGATCGAAACATAACCTACAAAAGTCGCAATTCTCGACGACCAGTGTCAAGACGCGGGCGAAAGTTGAAAAGAAAAACAGTATCAATAAACAAACTGATAGAAAATAAATACCATGTCGGCCCCCAAATCCTTCATGTCGCAGTAAAGGAAAAGATCCCCCGGTGGTTTCATCCAGTCGCCTGTGCTCGTGCCCGCTCCCTGGCCGTACCCTACACCGAAACTCTCCACCGTCTCCAAGGTACCCTCGGCACGGCGCGTCACCTCCGAGAGATTCACCGTTAACCCCGTGGTACACCGACAACGCGAACGAGAAATTCAACACACACTCTTTTGCACGCACTATCCGGTGGACGAGGCTATCTTGGAGGCGATTCGTAGGTTCCCGACGACGCGTTGCAGGGAAAGAAGAAGGCAGCGATCGTACGTGAACCGCGGCGTCAGGGCGCAGACACCGATTCAGCCGGCACTGAATATAATACACACCACTCCCGGTTGTTTTCACGTTCGTTTTTCCTCTCTGAACACGGAGGATGGACAGACGGATCTCTCGCGAACAGAGCACACCACACCGCCGCTGAACAATACGAATCGCGGCACTACGGACGACAGTGCGAGAGAGAGAGAAAGAAAAGCGTTCGGCCGCCTGTCAAACAGTTCGACACCTCCGTGTGCCTCGATGCTGCCACCGCTACCTATGCTCCTCTCTTCTTCCTCGTCCTCCTCCACCGCCGCCGCCGCCGCCGCCGCTGCTGAAGCTGCTGAAGCTGCTGCTGCTGCCGCCGCCACCTCCTTTCTCCTCTCGCGCACTTTGCACACTCACTCCGCGAATACGCGTTTATTTACAGGGGGGAGCGAGTCGATTACCGCGTTCTTGATTCTAGATTCACGTCCGTCTTGGCATATCGCGGGACGCGTCGTTATCGGCCGTTAAAATAACGCTTAGCGTCGTCACGGTGTTCTTTACTTGTCTCGGCTCCTCAATTTTTCGTTAACCGGCCTCTCTCTTCGACAGAGACTGCCCTCCTAACCGAAACAAAGAACGACGCTCGAACGGTGCGCCCTCTATCGAGGACTCTACCAATCACTATTCGCTTCGCGAACACCGTCGACCAATCGGCGTTCCCCTAGTTTCTACTTTCTGCGTTTCTACGACCTCTCACGGCGACCGGATGAAAATTTGATCGCGCTTGAATGTACCTGGTCACTTTCGACGAAACGTTTTCTTTTTTCTTTCTTTTTTTTTTTTAATTTCGACCAAATCGATATCTTGTTCGACTCAAAATGATGATACCACGAAACGAAGGATTGAAATGCTATTTCTTATTTTAATTTCAGAGAAAATAAGTCCTTTGGCTGCGAACGCCGTTTATCATACAATTATTTTACTCTTGCTTTTATCTTCGATTGACATTTTTTTTTGCATCTACAATGTTACATGCAGCAGTCGCTTTTTAACCGATGAGCACCGTAGTCAAAGGGTTAATAACACAAAGGGCAATCCTGAACCAATATAACGTGCAACGTAACGCTATTTGAACTTCTGTAAATCTCGTTACATTATTACGACGATGAAAAGTTAATATTTATACTTTATGTGTACCTTCAGCTATCTCGCCCATAAAATTCCTCGAATTGATTAAAAGCATAGAATAGAACATATCTAAGAAAATAGCAAGGATAAGTGTATACTTTTCCTTCTAACGTGCAAATTTTTATTTCGAACTCCTTCCAAAGCGGCGAAGGTCGCCTGCTTAAGACACGCTAGAAACGTTTGTAATTTGCTATACCGCCAAATTTCGACCCTGACACGATTTGCACGTGGGACCAACACATCGACTGAACTTTCTAACTGTCCGATTGTTAGTCATTGCCGTCAGTGTCAATGACATATCCTAATTAGACACAGAATCTTCGAACAAGAATTAACGTAACAAATCGAAACACAAACGAATTATTATTATCGAAAGATGAAAACAATTTTACACGAAGATACGAATCAGTAAGAAGCCTAATAATAAAAAAACGAAATATTTCTTAATAATGCTAATGATGCATGCAAAAGGAAAAAACATCGATCATATAGATTCTTGTTTATCAGACTTTAAAAATATTAGGTTATGAAATACTTTTGTTCGTACGTTGATACGTACATTAAAGTATTAAAATAAGGATAAAATTCTTTTCCGCGTATAGCTCAGATTGAAGCTTACTCTTTTATAAAGTCCAACTTCAATCAAATCTATTAACCTCGCTTATTCGACGTAGGCGTACTTAGACACGATTGGTGTTACAAGTTCTAAAAGCGATCTCTCGTAAATATTAAAAGCGTTTGATTTACGTTAATATCTTAACGAAACGATTGGCGTTTCGATGTTAGTCATGAAAGCTCGAAAATCGTTAATACGGAAGACTTATTGTTAATTTTTAAATTGGAGTGAGAATACATCGCGGAGTGATTCTTCTCATATCGAATTACAAAATATGGTAGACATAACATTCGGCTATACATTTCTCTTTTGATATGTAGCGATATAAATAAATACCAGATATATTTAAAATATTGAAGCTGGATAAATCTCTACTCATGGAAGAAACAATAAAGTATCTGCTTATAAACTTTTCTTAGATGTACAAAAATCAATTCCATTTACCTAGTAAATTATACTTGATCTATTATTTGATCTCGTTGTTTCAAAAGGTATAAAAAGATAACACTATATATCAATAGATATTTGATTTATGTCACGGAATATTTCTGATATAACGAGTAATAACAGTGCTTACCTGTCCATTTCTAAACTGCTGTTGCTGTTGTTGCTGCTGTTGATGATGAAAGAGAGCAACTTGTTGCTGTGCTGTCATCTGGTTGTTGAGATAAACTAAATGTTCCGCTCCAGGTGCACCACTCTACATAAATACAATAAAATGCGACTGTTAATACTAAAGTATTTTAACGGATGAAAATTATTTGAATGTTTGATTCAGACAAATTACTTTTAATTGATAAATTAAAAATATGTATTTCTGTCGCAATAATTATACAGGAATAAACTTAATTTGTTGCTAATTTTCATATTAATGGTAATATACATTCATAACATATATTACTCACTTTAAGTTGCATGGGATGTATCTCGTAAGGTAGATGGACATTGTTCATAGTTTGCAGTCCTAATTGTTGCGGTTGATTCTGTTGTGGTACACTCAGTTTAGTAATGGGATATTTCCATTTTTCTGGATTCTATAAGTTATAACAATAAATCGTTATCATTAAACTATCTATATATATAATTTTTCATTCTTCAAAATGGGCTTGACGCACTACGATTCCTATTTCTTAACATACTTACATTATCAATAATTGCATCATCCGCAAGTGCCCAAGCTCGTGGGGCTTGTTTTGTTTGAAAACTTGAAGACTGTGCATTAAATTCCGGTTCTGTGGGTCGTTGAAACACGTAACCCACCATTGCGTCATCTTGTGTTCTGCTTACACCTATTTGATGTGTTTGGCCAGGTTGTATACGCATACTATCACCACCAGCCATTACTTGTCCGCATTGCTCTGCATCCTATTGATAACAAACAAAAGAGATTGTTACGTTACATTGTACGTCACGCAAGTAATTTTGATGTACGAAGTCATGGATAAACTTAAATCAATGCATTATAACCGACTATAGAAAATTGCAAATTAAGATACAATATCAAAATACATGGATTTAATAAACGTACTTTTCGTGATAACATGATAGCATTTTCACGATTATGACATTAATAAACACACTCTAAATTGTGACACAATTACTTGATTCATCACAAATATACACATTATTGTTTTATTTATTCTTTATACAAATATACAAAATTAATTTTTTACAGCAAGGATATATATATATATATAATCCATTGCTTTGGAGGACTACAAAGAGACCATTAATATACACACCATTACCCTTATTTCACTGCAATAAGCAGTTTAATGAATGCAACCAAAACATCTTCATTTCTATACAATACTCTGCCATGATGGATCAAACAAAGCACAAGCATATGCAATACCCATGCATATGCACAATAGAAAAACTCTTTTCCCATGTTTCAGCAACAGAATAGAACTCCTCTACATTGACCGCCGTTATATTAAACGAAACGAATTACAATACAACGGAACAACGATACGATAAATTTCTAAATTGACGTTCCGTAAAACAATAATCTTCCTGTCTCCGAGACACGTGAGATAGGTTATGATATATAAATCGGACGTAAAATCGTCGCGGTGATAATAAATTTCCGTCGGACGTGTATCGATCTGGGGAGAAAAATAAAAAATATCGAAATAGGTGCATACCGCGGGTATATGTCCATTTGCAGAAGGATGGTGTAACTGCACAGAAGGTGCCGGTTCACCCGCAGCACCAGCGCTACTCGCACCGAGCCACTTCATCGTTCTGTCAATCTGTACCGCTGCCACGGGCACGATGATCGACGATCCGACAGATAAGAAGAACCCTCGCTGTGAAGGTTAGCTCTCTCAGAACCGGCGTCCGGAGCCAAAGGTAGAATCACCCCGCTACGTCTGTACCGCGGGCATGTTCCGAACGTGTGGCTCTTAACAGTGTGGCATCTCCGTTGTTTCCACGACGACGATGCTGACGACGATGACGACGGCAACGGGGATAATCACCACAGAGAAACGTATTTATCGCGAAGCCGCGACCAAGAACGCCAGACAGAGTACAGCAATGGCAGCTGGCCGCGAGCGGTGCTGCCGGATTTTTGACAACACTGCCGGACGACACGAAAAACGAAACGGGAACACAAAGAGAATCGTTGAACGAATGTAACTCGCTCTACTCTGCTCGGCTTCTCGGGTTTTACCAATCGACACAACTGCTCCGGCGACGAACCAACGAAACTGGGGGGATGTCGATGGAAAAAAAAGTGAAACATACAAAAAACGACAACTGCTTGTTCATCGACGGGCAACGGAAGGGAATTAGGGGTAGGAAAACAAAGAGGGGAAGAAACCGAAAGATCCGCAAAATTCAGATTCGTTCGGCCGTTGGTGTACCGATCGTTTGCAAATCCGTTTCGCGAAACGACAGCGGGTAACAATTAATGGTGGGTACTCTTTCGACTCACGGTACAAGTTTTACCTCGCCGCGATGACTACAGCGCGACCAGTTGTACAATATATAGTCCGTTCGATTCGTAATTATTCGTACTCCTCGCGGTTACTATGAACGCCTCGGTTTTTCACACACTCATCTTGTTAAACTAAAGCTTAAAATACACTATTCACAGGTATGTACAACGAAGTACAGGCACACAATGTGCGTCCACCGGCATACGCGTGTTTCGCGCGCAAGGATGCTGCGCGATTTTCGGAAGGGGTCTAGGGGATGGGGAGAGAGGCGGGCAAAGAAAGAACCAACCCGCGTTTAGAAATACCGCGACACAATGCAGAACCAATACGTTATTTCTGTCAATTTCATGCTTGTCCTGTTTACGATTTCTTGCTTTAATATCTACGTTTACCACGATAACCAATCCATCGACAGCACTGTTAAAACGTTTGAACAAAAATTCGTAGACTTTGCCCGGCGTTAATCGTCCGTTCAGAATTCGCACTACGCCGTGCACGGTGTGTCACGATTCTAGGTTATACGACAGAATAGCGCACGAAACGAATAGATAGTGATGTTGCATGCTAAAATCAAACGTACCATTTTTACCGCCATCTAATATAAAAGCTACGTTCTAAAATTAGTTATTCGTATTCATAACGTTTTATGTATTATTAACCGCTCTGTAAATATTAATAAAACCGTTTACTTTACAAAATATTTTACACCGAAAAGCTTAATAATGCTACTAGGGTGCCTCGTATGCGTTACAATATTATACACGTGCTCATAACTAGTTACTGTTTGGATTCTTCGAGCAACCGAACAATTTTATTTGTAATGATCGCGCTCTATCGTTGCAAGCAAGTGTAGCTATTGGTTAAAATTATCGTAACTGTCCAGTGCGGACCCTTCATAATGCGTACGTAAGAATTGTGATTTACACTAGCAGCACCCGCCACATGAGGAAATGTTTAATGACTGTAGCTGCATATGAAAAAGATCAAATTGTCAATTTAATATAAAAGGTCTCGTTCCTATGACCGCGTTAGATGATCACAAATGTTTCTTATCGCGCGTTTAAAAGATTCTAATCGAGGTGTTGAAGTACTTGGTAAGATTATTTTCTGCCCATCTCCACGATATTACGTTATTATTTGTATATCGAAGCATTTATGTCAGTGAAATTTTTGACAACTACTGATACTTGACCCTTTTTTCTGTTGTTATTACTTTCCTTCGATACGTTTAATAGGAAGTTAGTCATTTCGTTTCTTTAACTTTGTATTATTTTACATTATTTTCTGCATGTCTATTTTATCGATAAAGTACTTTTTATCGAGAATAATTCCCATTCTTACTGTAAAACTGTTTTCACATCATATATCGATAAACTGCTTAATGAGAAAAATAAATAATGAATATTGTAACATAATACAATTTTTTTGTAATAGTATTTAGATAATTGTAATAATAATGTACTTATAGATGTCGTAATGCTACACATTAAATACAACAATCCTACTATCATTATATAAAATGGCAACATTTTGGTCAGGAAGGCCTGGTTGGTTAGGAAAAGTAGGAATAGCATTGCTGGCTACATGGCTTTTGGTACTAATTATATCAGTATCGCATATTTTTAAGACTAATAGCTTAATGTCTGATAACGAAAGTCATACGAATAAAGAGAATGCTCAACGTTTGGCCAAAATGGTAAACGACTTTGAAATTCTTAGAAGACAAAACGAGGGATTAAAAAACATAGTCAGAGGGTAAGTCTATGGGAGATATTATAAAAGCGAACAAATATATCTGAAGTTTAAAAGAAAGAGCCTGGTGATCTTTTCGTTGTACAGGATAACATAATTTCCAGAGAAAGGTCTAAATCCATTCAAGGAGATCATTTAGGTTCTATACACGAGAAGCTTGACAAGGCTTCGCTTTACGACGACTTGTTGGATCGACAAGATAAAGTAAAACACGGTGTACCTTCTTCGGAATACGAAGAATTACGACGAAGGATAAGAAATAACGTACAAGAAACCTGGTAAGTGTAATATCTAAAACATAGATTACTCGTCTATTTCAAACAATAGGAATATTATATACAGTACTTTAATTTTTGAGATAGGTATTATGTTAGCGCGGAACTAAATAAACTTAAGAAATCTTTTGATAAATTGAGCCACGAGCAGAAAGAAAAAAAAATACAAGATATGTTAGAGAATGTCTGGGATCATAAAAGATCTCTCACAACAGACATTGACAAATTAATAAAAGCAGATGGCTACAACGAATGGCGTAAAAAGGAGTCAAAAGATTTGTCTGACCTTGTGCAAAGAAGATTTAGGTAATGGTAGTCTCCTGTGTCGTTATCAACTTATAAAACCAATACACTAATATCTATTCTTTTAAGGTCTTTACAAAATCCTAGCGATTGCAGTAAAGCAAGAAAGTTAGTGTGCAGTTTAAACAAAGGTTGCGGATTTGGATGTCAGGTAAATAAATATGTTCGTCTTACGTAAAATAAAAAATTTATATGAAAAATTGAAATTAAAAATTTCATATATTTCAGATCCATCACATCACGTATTGTTTCTTGGTTGCTTATGGCACAGAACGGACATTAATAATTAAATCTAAAGGTTGGAGGTATCATAAGGATGGCTGGGAATCTGTTTTTAAGCCGCTCAGTGATACATGCCTATCTACGACTGGAGTATCTCATGCTAATTGGCCCGGTGACTCTTCCCAGCAAGTAATTTCCTTGCCGATTGTGGATAATGTTTCTCCAAAACCAAGGTTTCAACCGCCAAGTGTACCCGCGGATCTAGTTCCCAGATTAGAGAAACTCCATGGGCATCCGTTAGTATGGTGGGTGGGCCAAGTTCTAAAATATCTAATGCGACCTCAAGAACACGTGAAAAAAACACTAGAGTATGCAAAGGAAAGACTCGGTTTTAAAAAGCCTATTGTTGGAATACATGTACGAAGAACGGATAAAGTTGGGACTGAAGCTGCTTATCATGACATAGATGAATATATGGTAAAAGTTGAACAGTATTTTAATGAACTTGAAACACAACCGGAGGTAAAAAGGGTATTTTTGGCCAGTGATGATCCGAAAGTAATTACAACAGCGAGGAATCGTTATCCGAACTATGATATAATAGGAGATCCAGAAATAGCTGAAACGGCATCGGTCGCAAAAAGATATTCCGATTCTTCCTTACAAGGAATAATTATAGACATACATCTGTTGTCCGAATGTGATTATTTAGTATGTACATTTAGTTCCCAAGTATGCCGTGTGGCGTACGAGTTAATGCAAACATATTATCCGGACGCTTATAATCGATTTACATCGCTGGATGATATTTACTATTACGGTGGTCAAAATCCACATCCCCATCAGGCTATTTTGGATCATAAGCCAAGGAAAATTGGTGAAATAGAGCTAAAAGTCGGAGATTTGATCGAAGTTCTTGGAAATCATTGGGACGGTTACTCTAAAGGTTACAACACACGAACTAGCATGACGGGCTTATTTCCTAGTTTTAAAGTAAAGAATCCCGTGGACGCTGTAGACTTCCCGAAATATTCAAACGTTCCGTTATATGAAAACAAAAACGAGTAGACACATTCTGAATGTGTAGTGATCCTGAAAATATTCAGATTGCTTGCAAAATAATATAACTTGCCTTCGTATTTAAATTGTTAAAAGCAGTAAATGAAATCATGAATATGTATATATTTTACTACTAGCAAGTAACAAGTTTTATTTCCACAAACTGACACTATCACGAGTTGTGAGACAAAGAAGTAAGTTATGCTATTTTTTAAGCAAATATACATGTTGAATTTTAAGAAGACTGTATATAAATAGTTGCAAACGAAAATTATAGAAAGTTCTGAATAAATTTACGATCTTCTTAAAAATTGAACTATAAATGAAGATTAGAAATTTTTAAATTAGAGACGTATAGAGATATAGTTGAAGTTTTAATTATTGTTTTAACTAGTACGTTTAAAAGTATGAAACAAATTAAACATTTTAATTGATATACAACATAGACAAAGGTTATTTGTGCCAATGCCATTTCATTCTCAAAGCGTTATGTACAATGGCAACGCCGCTGTTTACATAATAACAAAACATTTGATAATGTCAATTTTTGTAAGTTGAAATTACAAATTTTACATCACTAGTTAATCTCACATCTCATGATAAAAAAATTCTATGTTATAATTAATTGTCATAGCGTACAATTTGTACATAAGATATGCAATATGAAATCAATGTACATTACAATTTTTTTATGATACTAGAGCTTATACAATACGCATAACAAATAATGCATAAATGACGTATGCCAAGCATAATATGCATAGACATCGAGCTGGGCTTGAGGCCTATCTTATACATTTAAGGATGTTTCCTGTATACATATTGTAATATATTTTATACTATACACCAAACGCAAATGAGAATTGTTACTATATTATAAAATCTGAATTTGGTTTTTAATAAATATTTAATTCACCAAACGAACCGTTTTTTAATGTCGATCCCTACGAAGTATTTTAATGATTTGAAAATATATATCGAACAAGTACAACGAAATAATAGGTTACTTGTACTGTACTCCGCTGACTCGAAGTCTCGTGGCAGGAATGCGAGAAAAGTAGAAGAGATACACGTATTCCCACGTACGCATTGAACTCTGGTTCGCTATTCGTCGCGGCAGTTACACGCGCATGCGCACTGCCTGAGAGCGAGGGAGCGAGATAGATAAATGCGCGGTCTGATTCCTCTTGCCCCTGCGCAGTCCCGCGGGACATCAAGTCAGCGGAGCACAGTACTATCCAGAGATGACTTGTTGGCTAGGCACCAACAAACTAAACGGGGCAAGGGCAAGGAGAGAAGGTCTACTCGCCGCCTTATTCCCACCATAGAGGCCCGCTCTGACGTCACGCTACATAGTGGCAGTCACAGTAGTATTCATGGCTAATATTTTGAGCGTACAATCTTGTCCTATCCTACTCTGTTCCTATACGTTTCGTTTCGCATCCTTTGTCACGCGATGGAATTGCAGTTGTGAGCGACTCAGCCAATAATGACAATGCGTGTGAAAGCAGGCATTAAGCTACGGCCAATCGGCGTGCCTAGCCATCAAGTCATCGCTGTATAGTACTTGTCCATAAGCAAAAATGTACAAACTTAATCCATTGTTTACTAAACTCAAAAGAAATGGAAAACATAAATATAATACGTATGGTCAAATAATATTATATTGAATAATGAAAATGTGTCCAGAGAACAGCTTCGAAAATTCGAGAAAGAAGGCAAACGTGAGCCATTCCTTTTCGCTCTCGAAACAGCCGAAATCTGACTTTCGTTGACCAGCGTATCATTTCGAGCCTCGATTGTCTAGACATTTTGGTATACCAGTTCGTGTATCACGAAGTCCCATTGAATGATAGATCTATTCTGCACCTCATTTACGGTGTAATAGGTATACGTAGGCCGGAAAATAAAAATGCCTGGGCAGTTAAGACTCAAAATCGTATGCTTCTGTATATGAATTTGTTTCGAAAGCCAGAAAGAAAGGTTCATATTCGCCTTCTCTCTCGAATGCCCGAAGTGCCGGAACTTACGTACTCGTAGCTGTGTTCTAGTCGAATATACAAGCATGAAATGTAGCAAGCGTCGTGTAACAGAAGTACGACTTGAAATGAGTTGAATATAAACCATAATTTTCACCACCCCTTACTCGTTAACTTCCTTATTTTGTTTCGCATTTATGACGACTATTGTACAAAAATTTACGTAAAATATATGATGATCATTCTCACACGAATGTGACATGTTCACAAAGTATACAATTCTGAATTTTCATCAGTTGACTAACGTTTCAAAGTAGTTATAACATATATGTAATATTTTGATGTTTGTATTCTATTAGTTATATTTTGAAGAATTTATGAATACGCAAAGAATTTTGAACAAATGGCACATATATTTCGCGCTTATAAATTCAAAATACCTGTGATAATTCGTAATTATGGAAATTACAGTTCTTCTCGAAGGTTAGAATTGTAGAAAGTACCACGTATTTTACCGAATGTACGAATAACCTTTAAATGTTTTCTGTTTCTTTAAAGACCTAAATATAGTCATTATGAAATATTACGTGTCTCTCCGAATGCAACGCAAAAAGAAATAAAGGATGCTTATATTAAATTATCGAAAGAAGTGAGTCATTTTGTTTAACAGCTTCAGTGCATCACAACACTATTTCGAAAGACGTTATAAAAAAATCTCAAACATTTGCTTATTATTTTTTTTTTCAGATTATTCGAACGATGAAATTATTAAATATTTATGGAAAAAAGTTTTGTACTTATGTTATTTTTTACTTACAATTAGATGCACCCTGATGCTGGCAATAAAGGAAGTCATGACGATTTTGTAAAGGTTAACGAAGCTTATACAACTTTGAGTAAAAAGGACAAAAGACAGGAATATGATAAGAGCTTACATTACAATGATATAGTTTACGACGAAAACCCTTTTCGTCGAAACAATTATCAAAATCATTCTTATCAAAACTATTCTTATAAAAACTATTCTTATCAAAACAGAACTTACGAATTTAGAAGGTATGTTATAAGTGTACTTGTTTTATGACCATTATTTATGTTAAATATCTGTAAATGTATAAATAATTGGTGTATAGAGCTAATGTGCAATGGGAACGAAGAAAAGCAACTAGTCGACGTCAGAGCGAAGAACAATCTAAACGAATGATGAGAAAAGTCTTTACAATTATTGTATTCATCATGTTCATCGAAGGATTTTTGAGTTTCGTGATATCAAAACACGACTCACCGTATAACAGACGCTCTGTGACAGAAAGGGACATAAAGGATGAGCTTGAGTATATCAAGCTTAAGGAAGAAACGAAAGATAAAACATTGACAGAACAAATGGATCATCTTCGCGAGCTACAAGAAAAATATAACTTAGATCCTTACGCTAAATAATGTGTAATAATATATTAGTAAATTAATAGTTATTTTAAATGAATTTCGTTTGTAACATACATTGATTTTAAAGTGTTCAGATCTCAAAACATATATTATGAGGTTTGCATCTTGTATAGCTTGTTTTGATCGTTAAATATACTGTATATAATTGTACAATTTGAAAATGTCTTTTTAAATGTGTGATAAAATAAATTACTTTTATAAATTGCGCCCATTATTAATTAATAATTTATTATAGTTGGACATATAACAAATTTAAGAAAAGATTGATTTGTGTTCCCGGAATGTAAGTATTAGAGTGTAATTTATTTTCAATGGGAGAAAACAAATTTGTGGTAGAGCTTATCGGAGAAAAGTATATTGCTTTGTGTTATATAAACATTGTAATTTTTAAACATTATCAGGAATTATAATGTGCCTATACTAATTTATAAAAACATAAATTACTATATCTAAAATATGGACTACACAGACGTTCATTTATAATTACATTTGACAAATCATGAAAATATTAGGAATTATATGAATTTCAATCAAATTTTTTCCTTACATGTAAGTCTATTACGATAGAAAAAGAAAAAAAATTGTAGCAATGTGATATCCGGTTTTTAAAGTTCGTTTCGTTAAATGTACACATTTATGCACGCAACAATAAAATAATTACCGCGATAGTACGTTAATTCGTATAAAAGTAATAAATAAATTAAATCTTTAATAGAGAAAAATGATCAACACTTTTGAATTGCCGCCAAAAAAGATTAAACGAACGGAGACGGTTAAAGAGCAATTGTATAAAACGTTGGAGTGCGTTCCTCGAAGTTATCTTCGATTACTAAACAGGTACTCGATTTCGAAAATAGATTATGCTGCCGTTCACAATTTCTTAACGTACGTAACGATCGACGTGTGCGGAAGTGCCGGTGAAAATACAGGCTTGCCATCTTCGTCGACATAATCCGCGTAAGGTAGCTCGTATATTGGCTCGAAGCCCAATCCCGCGCAAAGTTTCCCGGAGAAGAAGGACGAACAGTCGGCACGTGTGAAGTGAAATCCTTTTTCCCGCCCGACTTCACTGCAAAATGAACATGTAAATTAACCGTATGTAAATATTCATTTATCATTTCCAGGGGTGTGATTATCGAATATCTCTAAATTATGGAACCCTCGATATCTCAAAATCTTTTCGTGATTTTTGGTTAGCTCTCTCCCGCTGAGCTCTTCTAGACCCACCATCAACATACAGAAAACACTATCTTACACAACTTTAATTACATTTAGTAGCAACAGATCGAAAAGTGATGAACGTGTTCTGATACAGAACAATATTGCAAATATAATTTCAGTACTTTCTGTAAAATACCCAACAACATGAAGAGCCCCCCCCAAGGATTTCGAAATCTTAAAAATCTGATTGTTTAGGTTAGGTTACTATCGAATAAAAATATTAATAAAGAAATTAGAAACCAATTTCAAATCGTGCAAAAAATTGATCTTGGATGAAGCAGGCTGCGTATACCAAGGTGTGAATTGTTAACATAAAGGTAGAAAGAATATAACCAATAATGCAGTTCTGGAATATTTCGGTAATGTTCTTGCAACGTTATCGCAACAATAAATGTTACAAAAACGTTGCTGCAATTGCACAACCGTGGACACAGACAACGTGTCAGAAATGTTCCTGTTATGTTTCGCGCTGCATAACGATTCTCAATTAAATGTCGTTTAGTTCGCGTTACTGCGTCGCAGAATTCAAGCTACTGATAAATGACATTTAAATTGCAGCAACATAGCAATCTCACTCACATCGTTTTTTCTATGAGAGCTTTACCGATCCCTTTGCCCCTCCAGCTCAGGTCTACGGAGATTATCCTAATTTCCAGGATGTTCAATCCCCGGTACTGTCCGTCGCTGTTCACGTTTTTGTCAACGTAACGCAGTAACCTGAGAATCTTCTTGAATTTTGGGTTCTCGCAAGCGGTCAAATATTCCGGTTCCTCGTCGCTCGGCGGATCCATCTTCCCTGCATAACGATTAAGCGCAATTTATCGTTTAATTAAAAACAAAAGAAACTATAATAATAAGGTAATTTGCTATTCATATATACGATACGAAATATCAATCTATTCATACATTTAACTCCGGTAATACGTGGCCGTCCTTTGCCATAAACGTTTGTAATTATCCACGTCGTTAAATAATGCACGAAGTACGCCGATCGTTAATAAAAATAATTACAAGTTACGAGTTATAAATTACACCCAGTTTTTGCTCGGAATACCATTGAATTACGAACGAACCTGGGATAAAAGTTTGAATTTGGCAAATAATATTACCGCGTTACCGGATCTGTTTTATGTCTTGTATATCAGATCCTGTCCAAGATACGACGCTGTTAATGGCTCGTTGAATAGCATCCAATTACAGGATAGTTTATTAATACATAATTAGATTGTTCGAGCGATTAATAACGTCGCGTCCAACGCGGGATCTGCTAGATAAGCGATAAATCTAGCCAGCAGATCCGGGATGAAACGAAGTAATAGTTCTTTGTACCGAAACTGTTAGCTCATGAGGTTACGAGGACGTAACAGTTTTTTTAAACTTCGAAGGGTTTAGATGCGACGGTTCGAACAATAAATAAAGTTTACACAACTCGTGGCAGCGTGTCTGTAATAATATTCATAAATAATTTCAACATTTGCGACCGGCGCGCTACAGATGTCTAATAAGAAACATTGTTACAAGTCATAAATTCAACCAGCATATAGTACGTATTTGCATACTCATAGTGAACGGCATACGTATGTATATTCTATTCTAAAGGTCTCTAATTACCATGAAGCACGAAGTTTCTCGATATGCACAGGTTGCACATCAACGACGACTTCGGACTCCCAACGCCATCTTTAACCCCAAACGAATATCGGTTAAAAATTCATTCGCGCCCGGCTTGTGTCCTGTTCGCGACATAACCTCAGTTTTTTTTTTCTTTTTTTTTAAATTCTTTATCGCGTCGTGAATCACTCGTAACGTTTTCCTTCGACGATCGAATATGTCGCGGATTAAAGAAAATCGTTCGAATAATTAATACGGACAACCAAGGTGCTATTAATGGTAATTACTCGTTCAGTTACTTTAGCCCGATGAAACGTCTTATTGTAAGGAAATCAGCCTCGGGTGCTTACGTCGAAGGTAACTCTTTAACGTCCACTTTGCATTCGAAATGATAATTTGCGACCGTTTTGCGGCAGACACGAAGTCGTTCATCATTCGACGACGGGAGTCTGTAATTTGTCGTGCGAAACGAGTTACGGAATTAGTATTCTTTGCGTTGCATTAGACGAACGTAGACAAGATCGTCCAAACGGAAATGCCTAAACGTTGCTTATGTATCCGGGAAAATAATTTTCAATGCAAGTAACAGGCACTTTCTCTTAAAAATTTCGTATTTTATATTTATTGTAATTTCAATGTCTCTCGAATTCTTAAACCGAACTTTTTAATGTTCAAACACCTTCAATTAAACATCAGTCTCGAACGAATCGGGTTATAAATAGTTCCTTTTCCCCCTTCAAAGATCATAATGGAATCGAAGGGACGAAAAGTGTTTTCGCGTTCCATCACATATAGTAAATATTTGTAGCTATATCTTCTTATGGATATCGAGTTGACTTTTATAATCTCAATAACACGAGACTAACTGGATCTGTCGATAGATTAATGTAATTACCGCGATTGCGACAACCGGTAGCGATTAATAAGCCTCACTCTAGCTCGGTTACTCGTACAATAATTTATGTAACGTTTGAACAGTACCGTTTCGTAGTAGGTGTGTCCCTCCCCCCCTCCCCCTCTCGTAACTATTTTTCCATACGATTTTTGCGGCGAACAGTGACGGCAGCTGTTTGCGCGCGTTTCGACGCAAGGACTCTTAACCGATTTACAAGGCCTTCCCATCGCGATTCTCGTTATCGTTCGCGTTGATCTATTTAGAATCAAACGACGGCGGCCTCCAAGTACGTACGTGCATCGGTGCACGGGCAAATATTTTGCAGTCTGCTGCACACACACACAGACACGCTGCATCCGCACGTAGGGAATTAAATACGGTATTCAAATTTCGAGAACGAACTCGTCATCGGTACGTGTAACGCTGAACGTTTCAGATCGGTGTGTCATCGTTTTTCCGCTGAAAATACCGCGTTTAACCCAGATATATCCGGGACTGGCGTAAACAGAACCGTAGAAGTCTTCTCGAAAACAACGGTCGATCTTTGACACAGTTATTCCGGAACGCCAGCGTTCAGGTCAGATTCTTACCATTTAACACGACACCCACTATAGCGCCGCTGTTCGAGACCGCCATGAAGCTGAGATTGTTCTCCACCGCCGACATGCTGCAATACTCCTCCAGCTCGAGGCAGGTGCTGTCCTCGCCTTCCGGTATCAACTGGATCGAGTGATTAAGCGGCTCGTCCCTGAAGAAGAACCTCCTGAGGAACTTCAGTATCCTGAGCTTGTCATCCTTGGTCACCGTTTGGATGTGATAGTCCATGCCAATGCTGTCTGTGTCCGGCAGATCCGCCAGCTGGGACAACATGGAACAATAAAATATAGTAGCATAAGCATATAAATTGAATTTTAGCGGTTTTCTTCTCTGTCAGTACGTCTCCGTTGCACTCAGATGTTGTAATAGATTTATTATACATGGTTTATGCGTTGCAAGAACTCAAATTTTTAAGTAGAGTCCACTTGGATATAAACTGTAATTAGACTGCGGATATTTATGCATTTATGTCAAAAAACTATAGAATGCATTTAATATGCAAAAATATACTCAAGTAAGATAAGAATTATTGTATTTAGGGGTTGAAAGAACCCTCTACGAAGCTCTTATTTTATTAATTTTATAAATATATGAATTTGCATTAAAATCCGCAGTCTAACTATAATACTCTGTATCTCTAATTTGTAAGCAAAGTTCAGTTAGACACAAGCTACGATACTCTGTATACTTAGTTTCATAAACTAGCTTCAAAGGGGACAAAGGGTTAATAGGAAAGCTACTAAATTTCATTTATACCGACTGAATCGCCTAACTCGACCACCTTAGGTTACACGTAAATTGTTTGTTATATGGAAAAATGCGAGTACTGATTGAACTAAGACTTGGACAATTTTGTGTTATTTTGCTTTGCGAGATTACTTTGAGTTTCTTAAATTAAACGTGTAAAAATCTCTCGACATAGCAATATAATTTTTAAACATAACAAGAATCCGCACAATACTTGACTGACCCCCGAATCCAAACACCAAGTATTTATAAACATGTCCAGGCACGATCGAATTTATTGCTACGCGAAATAATATTAGTTTCACCGTAGAAGTGAACGTGACAAGTCACCGTAACCGGTGAAATTTAGTAGGCAATAGTGAAAAGCTAGATGTGATATTTATGGCCGTTTGTTGTTTTGTTACTTTCTTTCGGAGCATCGTAAAATGCTAAGTTTGTCGCAAACTACCAGCGATAAGACAGGAAATACCGTATTATTATCGCATGTAATACTATACGTCTTTTGTTGCAAATAATTTTCCATAAATTAAACTGTTTATGAGTAATTTAAAGCGGGTCGAGTTAGATGACTCACTTGGTTCGGTCACGGTGACTACTGTAACACGTACGATTAAGAAATATTCAATTATCATTTTGGTTCATTTTTATTCATTACCAATAGAATGTTCCGTTCGTTCAAAGGAACTCTTTGAGCAGTGTGTAAAATAATCTACTGTTTTAATTTAGAGAATTGTAGATAATTAATGTTAGGTAACAAAGTGGTTTATTTTTGTACATACATTTGTATACAACGCATAGAGTAGTATTTTAAAATTATTAAGCATGAGACAATGTTACTATTAGGACCTAAAACTGCCTAAAATGTTTACGAGTGGACAAACTATGTTCGTTGGAGCCACGTATTTGGTTTTGTCGAGTTTGCATGTAACAACGAGCGCGTAACCGTTTCTTTTCGGGACCGTTCGACTCCCACGGGTATTATTCATAGGGATACTCGTAAGAACGTTCGCCAATGCGATCTAACGATTTCACCAATGCAGCATACCGTTGCGGTTCAGGCAACCCAGCCCGTATCTGATCGTACAAATTCTCGGTAACAGTATATCGCGCAACGGCCACGTGTGTATGGAAATGTAACCCGATGCAACATTGACAATAACAACAATCCGTTGTTTTTCCCGACGAACGGGAATTGAATTAGCGCTTTCACGCGCTGCAATTAACGTGGCCTGGTGCCGCGACTCGAGACGCGTCCGCGTTCTGGCAACATTTCATCCCGATTCGTTACCGCGCAACATTGTTCCAAAGCCTGAAACTGATTTGAAACAACAAAATTATTCTCGAGCTAGAATACTAAATTATGCTTCAAGTTCAATGTTCTCCCAAGTCTGTACAAATTAGATTTTTATTGTTAATTCTTTAGACGAGTACTCGTTCGATCAAATATTTTTTTGTACGTCGTTGGTTGCATCACGACGAAGATGCTATCCAATGAGTGATAAAATTTTGCTGGACGTCCTTTCGTAATTATTAACTTCCCGTAACGACGTCTCACCTTGTCTCTTTGTTAGAGATAGGCGATGTAACGTTTCATCGCCAGCAACGAACTCGTTCTTTTGCTTTATCATCCGTACGATCGTGTCTGTAATAATCGTAAATTGTTTTCCACGCGTAATATGTTGGATGCAACGAGGAAATTAAGGACAGCGTACGATTGTCTTTTACTGCGTATAGAATCGAACTTTTTGTCAACGCTGTAACATCGAAAGTACAGCGACTGGTTCGACTATAGCCACTTTTAAACGTTCCATTTTAATTATCTTAAAAAAACTGTTGTTTTGAACGACAGTGTATTAACTACCATAATCAACAAACTCTTCATAATTTTGTTGATTTCACGAGCAACGTAGATCGTGGCGATCTCAGATCCTCGGATCCTGGAAGCCACTTTTCTCGTTGCTCTTGAAACGAATAAATCTCTACCGTTCGTTATTAAATTAAAATTAATTCTCAGGACGTCGCACAGTGTGTTTTGTAAATGAGAATTCGTAACAAAAATCATAGCTTCCAAACTAGTCAATTTTCGACCCAAGACCTCTCACACCTTTTTAAAGAGAATACAAAGATGCATCAATTGCAAAAATTGTGCATTTTTGTCAAAAAAATTGAAACGACCTTGATTTTTTATCGAATAAAAATTGTTTTGCTAATTTTTATTACTGCAATTTCTTGTCAAGTGATTGCTGTGTTTTGTTCAAAAGGTTTTTTGATTTGCTTAAAGTGTCTGAAATATCGTAGTGATCATTTTGAGTATATGAAAAGAAAATCATAACTTTGCATCTGTGTAATGTTTTTCAATTTATTCCTTTTTAATTAAAATATAAAATAGATACAGAAACAATTTCTTATCTCGCAAATAAATAAAAGCACACTTTTTATTAGATTAATTCCGATTCTGATTCCGAGCAAAATGATTTTTAAAATTGGCGTTAAATTAAAGTTTAATGTGCCCTAAATTAGTATACAAAATCGAGGTATTTTTTTTAAACTCAATTCAAAATTGATAAACATTTACCATAAAAAATTGAGACCAATTGCTAATATTGTAAAAAGATTGTTTAAAAATTTAGAAGGAACTGTAATACTGTACATAACTTGCAAAAATCAAATTAAAAACACAAATTTTCAAATTGCAATAAATTTCTAACATCATTCTCAACAACAAATTGGTAAATTCAGTAAAAGTTATGGATCGTTGTTAAAGTCTACGTTCCTTTATCAACATTTTGGGATATAAGAATTTATAATAGACTTTGGTTTTTCGACTTTTGTCCATTGCTGAACACACTGTGCGTCGACGAGAAATTTCGAAAGATTCGTATTTGAAAATGTCCGTTTCGAGAAGTTGTACGAGCTTACCGTGTACTTTTTCTTTTTCTGCATATCTTTGGCGAAGTTCGTTTGTATCTTGGTGCCCTCGATACGATCGGAGCTTCCCAGACCGGACGCCAATATCGTTTCCATGGTGAATAAATTCGTTACGGGTTTTCTGTACGAATGAACCTTGACGCGACGAGGTCCCAGTGCGAAATTCGCGTGTCGATCGAATCAGATCCCGGGAGACGGTTCGTTCGCGATCGAGGTGATCCCGATGAAACGCTCGATAGGTCACTGAATGTAGAAACACCGGGGAGACTTTGCTTAATAACACGATGCTCGTTGTTGACGACGACGTGCGGGTAATCTAACACTGCGCTTTGTGATAGGACGTCGTCTGTCTTATATACGCTCAGTACGGGCAAAAGCCATTCTTACAGGGACAGGCGAATATAGTTTAGGATACCGTCGATCGAGAACATCGCGATCCAGAACCTGCGCGATCGCGCCTCCGGTTTTTTTTTTCTTACATTTTTATCTGACATCTTTGCTCGAGGCGATCGCTCATTTTTATTCCCAGGAAAAACGGGCATTTTTAAGAATAATCGATTTGCATCTTTTAGAACCGGAAAATATACTTTACATAACGCCCGCGCGCGCGCGCGAGCACGCTCACGCTCACGTTCACATTCACGTTCACGTTTCTTCGTCTTTTCTGTTAATTGTTAATTCGTCAATTATCGGTACTGAAACTCGCGTCAAATAAAAATTCATTCGAGCGTCTCGAAATTATGAAAGGGAAAAATTAGGGCGTTGGGAGATGCTGGTAACAAAATTTAAATATAATTCGGAGTGCAAAGGGTTAAGCTTAAGTAATTTGTAACATTATGTATATCGATGGAGCCATTTTTCTATTCTTCGTGAAGTCGAAAAATTCTCCACCTTGGAATCGTTTGCATCGGCGAATAACAAAATAATGCACGTGAAAGTGAAAAAACTGTTCCGTTAATGGTACATAATTAGCGTAATTGTTTAACAGTCATCATTAAAGGAGATGTAAATTATAGAGATAAACTATAGAATTATCTCCGTTTTAATTTGATCTGTTTCGTTAAATACTGTATCCCAAGTATACTATTACTGTTCTTCGAGCATTTAATTAAGCATAATATCGCGTGATATCGATTAAGGATAATTTACAATTTCGTACCGTTGAATGAAAAATAATCGTAACGGCGAGTGTATAGAAAATGGCGGCTCGAAACTTGGAAAAACATGTCGAAACGGAATTGATAAACGTATCGAGTAGGACGAATGTCAGTGAAATGGAGTAAGAGGTTAACGTGGATTACGATGTATAGGGGGATAAATAGAGTGGGCAGCGTTTTGTAATTTATCGATCTGAAGAAGAAATTATAGTCTCCGCGTTATGCAAAACCAAAAGGGTAGGCAGATAATGGCTGTCGCGTTACGAAAATACAATTTTATTTAAACGTTTCGTGAACCGAGTCTGCACGATTATACATATACAGGGTGTCCTGTAAATAGCGTAAGAACCGGAAATGTGGGGTAGCTGAGACGATTCTGAGCAACAATTTCCTTCGCAAAAATGTCGGATGGGGCTTCGTTTTTGAATTGTTAACGAAAAGCACCGTATCACGTGGTAAACTCGTATGGTTGCTATGTTATTATACATACAGTAGAACCTCGATTATTGCAGGAAATCGAGCCTGAAAATTCTTTGAATAATCAAGGCGACTTGTCGACAGCTTGCAACGGACGTACCACTCGTGCAATTATCGAGGTTCTACCGCATCGACTTAACTTCGACGTCTCAGCGTTTTGCAAGAAAGTGTAAATGAAAAATTGTATTCCATCGAATTGGTACACTTTTAGATAATAATTTTAGCGGAGGAACAGGGAGAAACAAAGTCGAGGCGTTTAACACTAGATTTACGGATGTCTGATTCCATATTTAAAATTGCAGAACGCGTAAATATCATTTTTTAACAACTTACGTTGAATTTGATCGATGCAATCGCAAGAATACATATTATAATTAAAAGAAAAATCGTATTTTAAGGTAATCGTCAACGCGAAAGGTATCGATAAATATACGTGTGATCAATGTTCGTAAATCTAGTGTTAATGAAAAACGATGTTTTCTCGTTCTGTGGTATTCGTTCTTGATCCTCTAAACGTGCGAATTATTCTTACCGCGTCTCGACGATGGCCGCGTCCCGGGGCCCCGTCGTAATTCATTCTCGACAGAACAGTGCCGAGGGAAAATCGAATGTTCCGGACAGATTTGTAACGTGCCTTGTAACGGCTTTATCGTTCGATATCTGCTCGATGCAAATGCAAACGACACCGGGAGAAATAACGTGCGTCGGGTACACGTTCGGCTTCGTTTCCCGCACGCGATCGACGTTTAATAGAAATACGCAAAAAAAAACTAATAATCCGCGGAGGAAATTACTATCCACGTCGATTACTTTGCGTTTATATTGTAAGACCCTGACGCACGTGAGGATGATACTGTGCAAGAACGAACGGTATCAATTAAACGACCGGTATCCTCGAATACGCTGTTCCTCGAAGGTAATGAAGCCACCACGCTCTGAAACCGTCGCGGTTTCTCAATTCGTAAGCGTTATAATTAAATACGAGCATTCGACGGATCGCGAGACCGTTTAACGCGCGTATCAAACACGCCTTTTAGTCGTACAACGTTTTCCTCGAACCTCACACGACGAGGAATAACACCCTAAATAGCAAAGTCTTTGGCAATATTTATGGGGTTTCCCAATTTTTGTCTACTTTGTAAATATTTTCATCCAAATGTAAAAGCACATCAACCCGTTCGCTGTCCGTGACCCGTATATGGTTCACATCACCGTGTTATTAGATACGCCGCTGAGAGGCCGGACAGTGAACGCGTTAGAACCGCGAAAATTTACTGTCATCTAGATATTTGTAACTTTAATGGGAATCAAACACGCCTTTTAGTCGTACAACGTTTTCCTCGAACCTCACACGACGAGGAATAACACCCTAAATAGCAAAGTCTTTGGCAATATTTATGGGGTTCCCCAATTTTTGTCTACTTTGTAAATATTTTCATCCAAATGCAAAGTTATATCAACCCGTTCGCTGTCCGTGACCCGTATATGGTTCACATCACTGTGCTATTTGATACGCCGCTGAGAGGCCTGGACAGTGAACGCGTTAGAACCGTGAAAATTTATTGTCACCGAGATATTTGTAATTTTAATGGGAAATGTTGCAAAATTCCTTGCTCGTGTGTCGGGAGAAAAGTGTTTGCAACCCGGAAGTTTCAATGTATCATTACTGTTCGCAGGAATTCTTCGAAAGGACTCGAGACGCTTCCCGGTAATCTCTTAATTCGTCGCTCGAGTTCAGTGTACACAGACTGCATCGGAAAACAATTCACCCGGCGTGTTGACCGACGTTTCCGGCTACACCGAAAACCGATTAAGGCTCGCGGAGCGGCGGATGTTTCGGAAAATCACCGGCGCAAAGGTACGCGCGATGAATTCGCTTCGAATCGAAATGTTTACGTAAAATCAACACGCGTGTCGTTTAACACTTACATATTTAAAATTGCAGAATGCGTAAATAATATTTTTTAACAACTTACGTTGAATTTGATCGATGCAATAATTAACCCTTTTAGTACCGAGCGAAAAACGGGTGCCTATGCGAAGAATACCGAACCAATTTGACGAGTTTGTTATGGTTGGAGAAAAAGCTCATAAAAACCAAACTAAGAATGATATTTACAAAATTCAAAAAGCAGCACATTACGAAATAAAGTAATGGCAATTGGCATTTCAATATTTATTGCAAATCATATAAATAACATAATTATAAAATAAGATAAAAAACATAGATGAGGCTTTGTTAGAAAGTTATTAACGTTTAAAGTGGAGCACGTACTGAATTTTTTTTCTCGAAAACGCACAGGATTTCGAGGATATGTCTATTCACCAAAAATGATTGTAACTGACCCCCACAATCGAAAATAATTTTTCCACAACAATTTGAAATTTTTTTTCCCCGTTGAAAAATTTCACACATTTTTGAATTTTTTTCTAGAAAGTGGGTAGGAATTCAGGGGTATGTGTATTCACCAAAAATGATTGTAATTGACCCCCGAAACCGAAAATAATTTTTTCAGAACGATTTGAAACTTTTTTTTTCGTCGAAAAAAGGCACCTAATTAGATTTTCGGTAAGCAATTTTTTTCTCGAAAATGCGTCGGATTTCGGGGGTATGTGTAATGATAAAAAATGATTGTAATTGATCCCTGTAACTAAATATAATTTTTTTAGTGTGATTTTAAATATTTTAATTTCGTCTAAAAAGTTCAGTACCTACTCGAATTTTTTTCTCGAAAGTGGATAGGATTTCGGGGGTACGTGTAATGATAAAAAATGATTGTAATTGACCCCTGTAACTAAATATAATTTTTTTAGTGTGATTTTAAACATTTTAATTTCATCTAAAAAGTTCAATACCTACTCGAATTTTTTTCTCGAAAGTGGGTAGGATTTTGAGGGTATGTCTGTTCACCAAAAATGCTTTTGCAATAAAATTAGACCCTTTATAACGTTTTACAAATTTTTTTTGAGACAGAGCTTTCTCCTAATGCGAAGAATAGAGCACCATCGCATACGCAACGATATATCGTCGTTTGGCACTAAAAGGGTTGAAAGAAAAATCGTATTTTAAGGTAATCGTCAACACGAAAGGTATCGATAAATATATCAATGCCCGTAAATCTAGTGTTAAGTGCAAAACGAGGGGGCGTGTATCGATCACCGACGCGCGACTATCGAGTACTCGAACGATCCTATCGACTATCGTGATCGAAAGTCGATCCTTTCCCGATTCGTTCCCGTTGAAACTATTAATTTCATTATAGAAATTTTTCGATGAAAATAGTAACAAAACAACGAACATTAAATTTCGATATCCTGTAAGATATTTTCCACCTTCGAACGTGTAAGCGGAGCAATCATCGTGGCATCCAAACAAGAAGCTCGTTATCTAGGAATCCGACGGCATCGAAAGAGCGGCCTCAACGGAAACGTATAGTCAAATTGGTCAAGGCGTTGGTCTGCCGCCAAGGTGTCCGATAGCGAACGTAAATCGCGAATGAAAAAAAAAACGGAATCGGTTTCGAGCGCCGAACACGATTCATTATCGGTGCTCGAACGAGACAAAGGAAGCTGGGCGACAAGTCGCGAAACGCGCGTGTTCATGAACTCAAGGTGCACGCGGGTTGTTTACCCGTGAATTATGCAACCTTTAACGAATCGTACGGAACGAGACAACGGTGGCTGGTCACGGAACTGTCGTTAATCTAAAACCGCGAAGGTCGACGACAAGAACCGTGGCCGTACCTTAGGCGGCAGTCAATGGTGTCGATCACTGGCTCCTGGGCATCGCGAGTATCGCGCTATATACGCGTATCCTCTTCGGGAAGGATACTCAAAACTCGGA